CATTCACCTTCATGTACACCAAAATATGAAGTCATCTCCAGTCGCGGCCTGAGTGGAGAACGCCTTTGGAATTCACGTGGCCTCCAAACAGCTGCGGAACTTCTTGAATGGAATCACCCATGGATAGCTACCTGGAGACCAGTACTCTTGATCTGCAAGACCTCAAACATCGAGCAGCTCCGGCAACGTCGCTACGGTCCAGGACATCATCTTCACCCCATTCACCAAGGCGCGGGTTGATGATATGTAATAAGAAAAGAACAAAAAAAATAATGTGTGGAACCGGCCAGTACTAGAATGGATGAAACGATATTGTTTCTTCGTGGCGCCCCAGACTGAGGGTCGTGCGTAGCTTCCAATAACACATAAGCGTGAACGAAGCACGGCTGAATGAGTGGTACATCGAGCAACTCGAGGAAGAATAATCCCAATCATTCATGGCGTCGCACCGTAACTTCTTGGGAGATTTATGTACATGCTACAGATTCAGCATTTAATCAAAGGGCGTTGGAAAAACTTTCCCTACTTGGAATGACGAAGAACGTGAGTAACCTGAAAAGATGAGAAGTATTTAAGGGGGGCGGGGGGTCCTGAACTAAACCCCCTCAATTACTCGGTTCGGGCGGAGCTCAACAGGGTGGTCTACAGTGGCGGAGAAATCAACGATCTCGCTCAACTCCGTACCCACTCACTTCGCGCGGCCGAATCTCTCGATGGCGCTCCTCCAGAAGGCTGTGGCGGAGTATCATTATAGTATTTAATGTGCTCTTTAATATGGTAGTAAAATGTCCGATAAAATTTAATAAAGTGTAACTTATAGCGCCTTGAAAGTCATGGAGGCAAAATGACTTTTTTTTGGCCCCCCCTGTATAAATACCCTTAAGTATGTTCATACCTTCAGACGACGACGAATTGTAGGCCACACGGCGACATACAAGCCAGCAGGTTTGCATTGAATTTATCTATGTTGGAGGCTTCTGATAAGGCGGAATGAGCAGCTTTTGCCTGAGCCAGAGAGGGAATCCGATGTGGGTGAACCTCTTTTTGCACGGATTGATTTACCCTCGAAGCTTTCCATCCTCCCCCTCCTCAGGTGACCTGTCCTGAGAGGTGGCATGACGAACAGTCGGGTGCTGGACCTATATTGGATCAACGCCATGGTCCATAATATGAGAAGCGAAAATACCTGAACGCCGTATTGGATGCCAGATTTGTTTTGCATAAATGCCCATGTATATCGGCATTAGGAAACCTGTACACGTTGTCTATGTGGACCATTGCACGCTCTGAAAGTATCAGCTCGGCAGGATACACAAGAAGGAACGCGTAGATGGAAACTCACGTGTAACACCGATTGAAAGGTCGAGTGTGTGACCACAATTGCCATACGCTGTCACCGAGTAGTCGCGGAATTTCCCAGAAGAATCTAGTGCTACCTAAAGAAAATGTAAAATTTCTCGCTACCACTGAATTATGTGCAGAACCTTCACAAGAAGCTTATCATTGCTTTCACTAGACCAAGTTCACCGTTTTAGTGGGAGCGTAAAATCGAAGATAGTTGAGTGGTCGATACCAGTCTTCAGTGGCTAACTGGCAAACAAACCTCATAGGTCAGTTAGCTATCGAAGCTTATGTATCCGATACCGAGCTTCGCTGTCTAAGCTCTCTAATTTCATGGGTGAGCTAGCCAGCGAAGCGTTTTCCCCAAAGTGAAAGGGAGGAGTGAGTAACTCTAAGAAGGGAGGGATGGATAGCTTTGGGCAGACTTGGAGCCACTGTGATCGAGGTAAGGACTTTCACCTCCAGGTGTAAAGGGGGCAGAAGGGTGCGATGGATTCAATACGAGTAGATTAAATTTCAGATGCGCTAATTCCAGGTTGTACAAAAAGTATTTGAATAAACGCGCTCCCGCCCGCGAACTACGAACGCCTATTTTCTACGTGCAGTTGGTTCACTAAATTGAATTGAAAGCGGGCACGAGCCGTTCAACCGCAGCTGCTGAATTCTCATTCTTCACTATTTTCTAATTCTCTCAATCCGTGCGAGAGAAAACACGATGAGCATGAAACCTACAGTTGCTTTGGTTCATCCCAACTCGGAGTATTCGAGCAGTAATTAGTGACCCTTAGCCTCACCTTATAGTTGAACCTGAATGGATGCCTTGTTCCAGTGATCGCCATGTCATCGTATCGTTCCAGGGTTATTCGAATTGGTTTTCTGTATCTGTAAAGAATTTATGGTACGTACTATACACAGTATAGGCTGCGTTTATTGAAAAGTTCAGCTTTCAACAGTTGCCCATGTAGGCGAGAGGAGAGAAGCAACGGGACATTAGCGTTCAAACGCTCCGCATGATAGCCCTCAGTACACTGACACTGATGATCCCTGCAAAGGATGGGGCGTGTGTGATGCCGGCGCCGCGTTTAGAAGCAGCAAGGGTGCGTCTCGTTAACAATTACTTCAGTTAGCCTTGTTAACAAATGGAGAGAATCCGCTCTGTCTGGCGTTCATAGCACGCACCACACACACGCCTATCGTTTGCAGGGGTCATAATGCACGATGAGGACGTCGGATAAAAACACGTACCCAGTGAGCCTTGAAAAAGTGTACCAAGAGTGTGCACTGTTTCATTAAAGATTTCTAAGGGAATATTGATGAGCGAAGGTTTGTTCCTGCTGCCACCTCGGTATGAGTCTTGGAGGTAATTTCTCTATTTTTGGCGACGCTCGCCATCAAACCCCAGAAATGTTAGCCTAGTTCCTTGCGACGAAGGGCCGTGATCAGGCTTGATGGTTTGCACGATGCCAGACCGATTCGCCTAGTCTAGTCGCAGTCGGAAGTTACAAGAATGCATCAGATCTTTTGTAGCACTCGTTTTTCTATCGTATGTGTTATCGGCATTCCGTTGAATCGACTGACGAGGAAATTCGGTGCTGTGTTCGCGCGGTGCGTGGCCACCATAGCGACTTGACACGCCCCTTCAATTAGAGCATGCTTACCTTAGTATGGGAAGGCTCATACTGAGCGACCATAACTATAAAATAACAGAGCGCTTACTTTCGTGCTGCAATTGCCGCTGGAACGGTTAATAGTGCGCAGGTGTTCTCCTTGCCACCGAAACCGCCACCGATACGTCTGTCACTTCTAGAGGGACTGATCTTGTGCGCGGATTCCGAGGGCACTTCGCTGTTTCCAGTTTCTGAGAAGCATCACATGTTTCTTTATTGATCTATCTTCATTTAATATTCAACAATTTTGAGTTCAAAGCTTGAATATAGCAGGGTTTGGAAGCTCATGTTTCTCAAGTGGCGAACACGATAGACCGAGAAAAAGTATGTGGGAGAAATTTCGCGAATTATATGCAAGTCAAAGCTACTCCAGTGGAATTGAAATTCGGTGTAAACCCTCACGGTCGTCTGAACGTAATTTATTCCTGAGAAACTGGCGATGATTTCGAGTTCGATGCATCCTCATAGGTGAGTATGATCACGCGCCATTGTTGATGTTTCCCAGATAGTAATTTCCTGCAATAGGCCTTTCACATAACCAGATTGTATCTTAGAAGCTGATGATTTTATTTTGTACAAGCAGTTATTGATGTCAAAACAAGGCATGCTTGAAAAAGCTTCGTTAGTGTCTTCTAGTCGTTTCAATCACGGGCCGTCGGCCCAGCGTTGCGCTATACACCACACACGAGGGGAGTCCGTAATTGGCCTTCTGGGAGAAGAGAGGAGAAGAGGCTCCTAGGGATTTTTTATAGCATTTTCTTTCGTTTTAGGTGCAGTGACAGAATCCCATAGGGGCGTATTTCGGTCGATGGGGAAGGGTAGTCGTAAAAATGTTTGCGCGCTTTGAGAAAATTTTTTTTTCTCACCACCAGTGAGATCCCCTCTCCACCCAATTATCCCCATCCTTGGTAGGCAGTGCCTCAAAACTACCTCACAATCACTATTTCTTATCGTAGACTGTAATAGCTGTCTTTAGAGAATCCTGTCCCACCCCGCTGGACGCCTGCTTTCAGGGTAAAAGCATTGAAAATTCTTGTAAAATAGGTGGCAAGCTTTGTGATACTAGTAAGGTGTAAATAGATGTGAGACACTGAGACACCGCCATGCCACCCGTTCTAATGCTCTTCATGCCTCAGCACTTCACGCTCCTCCAACCTCTCCCCGCCGACGGTCACACGGAAAAATGTAAATCAGATCGCCTACAAAAAAATGAAAGAACTAACCTGTCCACCCATCCTAATTTCTCCCTCAATAACGTGTTCGTAACGGCTCCAGTCGTTCTCCACCACCGTATCATTCTCCAATAAAGATGAATGGATAGTAAGTGGTCGCATGAGGTACGAGTTAGCATCAATGGCATCCTTCAAAAGCATCGGCTTACTCGATAGAACTAATCAAATGTTGGGTAGCTTGGCTTGTCGCCTCTGAACTCTCATTACTACCGTACCTCGATAGAAATAATTGCGTGATCCCTGATATATTCCATTTTGACGGCGTTGGCTGCACGTCGAGCTGTTTCGTGATCTTGTGCGATTATGGCTGCGATGGGTTGGCCGTGGTAGGTTATCTGGAACTTGTTAATTTCTTTCTTAGGTAGCACAGCTTCTCAATAATAAGTGTCCTTCAGCGGCTCCTGACCCACCTTGTCTTGCGCGAATACCGGCGTGTCGTTAGAATGGCCGATTCTAACACCCTCTTGCACATCATCGGCGTCGATGTAGCCCACAACGCCGTCCAGAGCCATCGCTTCCGTGTAGTCCACTGATTCAAGCGTACCGGAGGCAATCGGGGACATTACGAATGCCATGTGAAGGCAGTCTAGAATGATTGCTCTAGCACTCTATTATCCAAAAGTTTCCAGGAGATTTGAAGCAAAGCTAGGACTCACTAGACACTGGAACGTCATCGCAGTAGATCGCCTCTCCAGTGACGTGTTTTTTGCCAGAAACATGAGGAATCGCTCTACCAACGGGATCGTGCAAAGGCTGATCAGCTGGAACTTCCTTAAAAGATGTCGTTGACTCACTAGTCCAGTACCGTAACGGGGAAAATGATTACCTGGTATAACTGTGTTGAAACAAGCTCATCAGGTATGTCCTGACCAATACTTGTAACCTCATGCCTGTCTCCAATGTTCTCGATCTAAAGGATAATTGTCTGTGAGATAACTAGGGCTGTTTAAATGGAGGGCTAGAATCCACATCACTGGCCCTTCATATGCAACTTCTGCTTCAGCTACCGTGTCACCTTCTCATTTGCTTTTTCAGAAAACTTCAAACTCTAGAGGACTTTATTTCTACAAGTGTTCTGAGAAACATTTAGATCAGTTGCTAATCTTTCTCCCGAACCATCTCCGGGCCATCTGTATCAAGTTACGTGTACATGGTTGCATTAAAAGATAGTGGGCACCATGACTGGGGTAGGTGGCGGTCGCTGCGAACTTGATTGGTGGAAGAGCTACGAGAAAGCGTTCAGCCACACTTCACTCCGTCCTCCCATCAATGACGTTGGCAGCAACCGCCCGCCCCCGCCCATCGTGCCACAGCCTTCGAGGCAATGTGCATTGATTTATGTGCACGCTAGACCGATTTTTATTGGCTCTTCGCGCGTAAGCGCGCTATTTGGTCAAAAGCTCAGCTGGCGTTAGTTCATTTGTTTCACTATACTTCATGGCTGGGAAAAAGCGGGCTGTGCTTCCTTCAGTCTAGACATTCAGCATTTTCGGAGCACACCAATCACTTGCAAGAATAAAGTCTCTGTGAGGGTAGTGAAAATGGGAATCGCAAGAAACTTGTACCAGTTTCGCGTCAGAAGTCTGTAAGGTAAGAGCGTTAAGGCGCAATCCAACTCAGCTGACTCCGTGAGTGACTCTTCCCCGCCCCGCCTTGGTGCCTACCTTTTCGTTAGATCGTCCGAGATTCTAACTTATTTTCTCTTCTTCGGCTAGGAACAAAGGTCTTATTTGGGAGGTTTTCTTCACTGATAAGTCAAATAGCACAGCCACTTCTGTTTTTCAACTCCGCTACTTAGGAAGTCATCGACGGCTAATGATGAGAGCCGCATTGAAGATTTTTATGCAGCTAGCAAAAGGTATGCCGCTCACATTGAGTGCCTCAGCAACTTCAAGGAAGAATTTCAAGAAGAAACTGAGCGTGAGTGCTTGTCGATATCGAGCCATTCCGCCAGGGACTCCTGCAGGCAAAGTGAATTCCTTCGAAATAAGATCAAGTCCTTGATCGAGCAAAGACTGATTCCATTTCCTTAAATATAGAATTGGGAGTTCTTATAGAAAGAGAAACGCAAGAGAACTAATAGAGTAGAACATACATTCCCTCCAGGTGTTTCATAGTGTTGAGAGCGAGCTTCGTCGTGGGAGCCATTCCACCAAAGGAAATTCCGGATCATCTTTGACGACTAGTGTTCCCGGGTCTACGATAGCATTAAATGCTCCGGTGACGAATCGCGATATCATCCTCGCGACGTTGCGCTTGCTTGTACACGCGGAAGAATTGGTTCTGAAAGTGTATCTCAATAAGGAATATCACCGGACGTCGTTCTCTCAAAGAGCAGCAACGTAATACGCAGCTGTATGTGGTAAAGTTCATGTGAAATGATCAGGCGGAGAAAATAAATGAAGGAGAAATGAGGAGGACAGCTGCTCGATTTATGTAGCCTTGCATGAGTACGAGTGAGAAGTGCACAACCGGGGAGGGGTTTCCTAAACACTTCACAGACCCCGCCCATATGATCAGCGCGGAATAGACTTCAAGTGAGAGCTCCTTGTGAAAACGAACATCCACATAGACCTAATCTTCACGGTATAGCCTACAGCCAACGGCGAATAAACCTTGGACTGCTGTTCTATGCATTGATGATTATGCCGATACTCACCTTTACAGTTACTGCTCGAGCGTTGAGGGCACCAATTAGGCTTTAAGCCTTCGCTAAAGCTCGTTCACATTTTGCTAACTTTCGCTCTCACCAGGAATCGGAAAAGGGTACTGCATCACAGCGTTAGGTGAAATTACAACTCTTTGAGCTAGTCTGCGGCTTTCTCTAATGAGATTCACCTGGGACAGGACATCTCTCATGAGATATTCACATGGGACGGGACCGCATTCTGCTTCCACTCACTATCGTAGTGGCTTATAGAATGCGATGTGGCCTGCACAGTGACTTGGGAGGGAGAGCGGAAGGGCAGGCAATATGCAAGTCAGTTTCTTATCCACATGGACGAATCCGCTACCAGTTTACCGCTCCTGGAGGTGGAAGGCTTAGTTGGCTCAAGCTCCGATGTGCCAGGCATCTCAGGGCGCCTGACGTCTACTTTGTTTCAAAAGGGCAAGAAGAAAGAAAATGGAAGATGTCCTTTAGCTAGGTGGTGATCAGACCGACCTATTCAGCGTGAATGCACGCACAGTGCTCCTTCTGTGGTTAAAAGGGGCCTCAAGCTGACGAATACGGTAGGACGTATTGTGTTCGAGACGACGACGGAGGCTTACCTGGTCATGACGTTGGGTGACTGCAGATTGCGGGTTGCTTCCGCTTATGAAGCAACATCATAGGTATGTTTTACCAAGACATTGTAGACTCTGCTAGTGTATTTATATTCGCTGAGGAGACAATTTTCTTGAACAGCTACAAACCTTCTCGGTGAAAGGTATGATGACGGCTTTCACCACTTCATCGGCTTCCACTGCGACCCTTCTGTAAGATAAGAAGAAATGTTCATCGATGACAGGACAACGCATTCCACGCTCTATGGACTCCAGAACGACCTAAAAAATTTGATGGATGTGCTAGTTAGAACTGAATAGTGATATTCACCAATAGCATAGAACTTAGGAGTACATCTAAACTTTACATTACATTTTAAAGGCAGTTATAAAGAAGCATGAGAAACAATAAATACCTTGGCACCAGCCGCCATCCATATAGGATTCAGGTCAGAAATGGGAGAGGCGGTTACGATATTGCCGGCCACTGACTGGAAAACGTTCAAGTAGGAAAATTTTCAAAAAATTCAGTCTCTCCTTAGAAAAACATTTCAGCCAATAACTGCTAATGGTGAGACTTCCGAGAAAAAGTGAAATTTCTGGTTACTGACCGCTACATTTCTCACGTGCTTTCCAGCAAACCAATGCATAATCTCATGAACTGCTCTGAATACTCCGCACCGTTCTTCTGAAAAATAGAGTAACTAGATCAAGCGGAACGCAGCATCATTACCGCTTACAATACTAAAAGAAGATTCTTCGTGGGCATTTGTAGGCAGTAGCAATGTGGGTATTTAGGGCAAGTTTTCCTCTCAACATTAATGGACCCTGATCCTTGCCAATTGGTCTACGGCTACAGTAGCGGGCTGCAGGACCTTGGTATCGACGGAAGTGCTGCACATTGAGGATAGCTGAGTCGGGAAACGCCATCTGGGTTTCGCTACCCTACGGCCCCGTTCCCGTGCACTGCTCAGCGGGGAATGTGACACGATACTGCAGCTGCGGTTCCATTCACCTGGCCGATGGAAAGATCGACCTTGGAGGTGAGTTTTTCTTAATTTGTTTACAGGGAACTACTTGTGGAAAATTGGGATTCAATGTCCGAGATAAGGTCTTCAGAAGAAACTCGCTCACCGCGAAGCATGTCCAACGTGCTTGACAAGGTAACTATCGATTTCTGTAAGGCTCAAGCCTGTGCCCATATATAGACCATTGCTGTCCAATCGTACTTCATGTAAATCAGGCACCTGAACGATGTTCCTTCCATGAGTTTCAGATGGTCAAAGGGAAGGGAACAGTATACAGTGCCTCATTGCGCTCATTCCAGAGCGAATCTATCGTCGCAGCGCTGCGGAGCGGTTTCAGGAGGCGTCAAACCTGCCTATCTGTGGCGCTTCCTGCAATATTTTTAACCTAGATTGGCCACAAGGTAAAAACGCAGCCAAAGTGCGCCCATTCCACCCCTCCTGATGTCGCCTAGCCGCGGTGCGATGATAGTAAATAGCTCTCGATAGGCCGCAGATGGGAAGGGAGGGGCAGGAGGCGGGGAAAGCGGAAGAAAAACGAGGTTGCGTACTTCACTCAACAGGGCGTAGGATATGTTTTCGTTAGAATGTGATTTGCCCCAAACACTTGCCAGTGAGTCGCTAGTGTTTGTGCCTGAGCAAGAGAAACCGAGACTGTCTGTAAAATTTTAGGAAACCCCACGTTTCAAAACAATCACAATTACGCAGGCACCTCCTCCATCCCCACCTTCCCCGTCTCGGGATATGGAATGTGATCCGCATTCAGTCTCTCAGAATGCTTACGCGAGCTGTGTGCTTCGAAAAGGAAATTCAAAATTTGTTCTAAGGGCTTTACGTCAGTTCCTGAATAATTTCGTGTGGTTTTTGCTGCTGCCTGTCACATTCCGAAAAGAGATTCACGACAACTCCCGACAAAACTAGCACTTTTGTGCTGGCCTTATTTTCTGTTACACAACGTTGGGATGAAATGTTCAGGATTTGATCCCCTCGATTCATGAACGAGCAGCATTTGCAAAGCCCACTAGGACCCCAGAAGCAACATCACAACACAAATAAATCTACACAAACAAAGTTCCTCATTAGAGTTCGAGGAAGACGCTTCATTTCCTATGTTTTCATGCCTTCGGGAATCCAAAATCATACCTGACGAGGATTAATAGCGAGTTTCAAATCGATGAACCGGAATTTCAGTTCGATTGCCAATTCCGAATTACCAGATATAAACGCGCATGCTGACGATGAGTCTGCGTTTTAGTTCGAGAAGATCCCTTCAAATCTATTATAAAATCACAACACAAGTAATTCTACACAAATAAAAACAGAGACAGACATTTCAGGTCGCGAAAATTAGGGTTATTCTGCATCCACTTACGTTTACTAGGGCGCCCCCATGTGTTTCACAATTTTTTTTCCAAAATGGCGACTTTCGAGGCAGACTGAGAAGGCCCGTATGTGATGCTGCGACCACGTCGCAGGTTCGCCTTTAAAGGCACGGTGCGCGATCAGGGATATCGAAGTTTAAAAATATCGGCGTCAGGAGTAGAGTGGACAAACAACCTTGTACCGGTTTCGCGGCAAAAAATTTCTATGGGAGGGGCGTGGCTGTAGCGCAATATAGGTTCAGTGGCTCCTCCTTTTTTCCAGTGACTCCGCCTCCAGACTCCGCCCTAATGACCGACTTCCAGTGAAAAATGAGATTGCAGGACGAAAAAGCATGATAATCGCCACTTGTACGATCGTAGAAATCTTATCGGTGAATCAGCCGTGCATATGAGGGCGTAGTTTTGGAGATAAGTTTAGCGCAGACAAACTGGCAACGAAGGGGGTTCTATCTAGGGCAGGTGGCATGTTTTTTGTGCTTTTTTGTTTCACAGTCGAGTTACTCAACCCCTTGTCGTCTATATGGAACCCCCTAATCCACCATCTGAGATGGCGAGTAATCGCGGGTTCTTCCTTTAAGGAACGTATCCAAGCCTGGCCAAGCTT